TTTAAGCTTCTCTTGGAGGGCCAACGAAATCCGCCGCTTTTGGCGGAGCAGCTCGCTCTCCCCACCCTTTCCAGAATCCCAAGGAGAGTTTGTTGAGGGTTGTCGTCCCCACACACACACACACACCCGGCCCCGCGACACAGATTCGCACTTTTGGCCCATTGTGGTAAGACTCTCTGCGGAGGAAGCTCTCTCTTGTCCCACAAGGGGACCCGGAGGAGGGGTGGGCCGAGGCTCGGAGACCCTCGAAAGAGAGGCCGCCATGCCGTCGGAGAGCTCTCCTGCACCCGGGAGCCTCTGGGCTCGGCGGGCGAGGGGGCCGCGGAGTTCGCGGTGACTTCCCCGCTTCCAGATCAGACCTCTTTTAAAAGTCACGACGTGTAACAGTACCAGTTTACCTGGGAAGGAGGAGGAGGAGGAGGAAGAGAGCCACGGTTGTGACTCGGAAGAGAAAACAAATGTTGAAACGACAACAGCAACAAAAGGGCCGGTTCTTGGAAATGAGCTCTCCTCAATTAAATAGGCTGACATCAGGATGCTCTCTGTTTTTGGAGCAATTTGATTTTAGAGGAGGGGGGGGATTGCCTAAAATGAGTGAAATTAAAGAGTTATCCCTGAAAAGAATCAGATTTAACCTTGCCTAAAGTCATTGCCCTCTTAAGTCCCTCTAGTTATCAAGAATCTGTGAGTTTCTGGGCACACGCAGGCACAAACACACGCCCCTGTGGGTAGTTTTCTCCTTATACTAATCATTACTTCTTGCCTTTAAAATAATTTACTGTCCAGGCTTATCTATCTATCTATCTATCTATCTATCTATCTATCTATCTATCTATCTATCTATCTATCTATCTATCTATCTATCTATCTATCTATCTATCTTTTTTCAACAGACCAAACAGGGTATAATAAAATGGTCCACAGAAATATAATTTCATTGTATGTCTATGTAAAATGTGTCCGTGTACACACACATACTTCAGTTTATGTGCAAAAATATATTCATACTTATGTTCATCCATCTGCACATACAAAGCAGATATTATATAATCAAATCGATCTGTCTATAAATGTGTTGCGGCGCCTCTTTCTTGTTATCCAGAAGTCAGGATCCACGTTTAGTCTTTTTAAATACCGAGCTGCAGAGAAATAGATAAAGAATTGGTGATGTAACTGTAGCTAAAGGATGTGTACAAGTGTGTTTATCATTCGCGTGTGCCGTGCGAATATACGGTAGTGTGTGTATAGAGGGTGTGTGAATAATTATATGCATAATATATGTGTGTTCAATCTGTCTATGTGTGTTCTATCTAAACTCGGGAGATGGGAATGATTTTCCTATCCGGATGAGGTTGACTTCTCCAGCCTATTGTTTCAGGCAACAGATATAAGTTGCGATGGGAGAGGAACGCCGGATTTGGTGTCTGTCCCCCATTTCCAATTATAGATGGATCATTACAGACAGAGAAGTCCTGAGAAGCCAGACATCTGCTCTTCACATGAATGCACTCACCTCCTAGAGAACAGCCCGCCATCATGCTCTGGAAACTGGTCGAAAATGTCAAGTACGAAGATATCTACGAGGTAAGTATAGAGATTTAAGTCGCCAGTTTTCGAGGGGAAAAGAAGCGCCTCGGCTTTTGCAGAAGGGGGCAAGGGTGGATTTTCCTGCCCAAGCAGGGAGAGCGTCGGAAGCAGACGCCCGGCCATGCCAGCCGCCCTGCCCGCGCTCAGCCCGCCTGCCTGGCGAAGAAGAGTCGGGGGACAGGGAAGCGGGGTCGCCCCGAAAGAACTTTAGAAGCTGCTTTGGGCACCGAAAAGGAACTTGAAACGAGGAGACAAGAGGCGAGATTTAAAAACATCAAAGGACGGCATGGTTTGGGAGATGGCAGGAAGAGACTTAAGCGCAGCCGTCTGTTTAGATCTGGAAGTCCACGTAATTCGATTAGCAGTAGCTTAATACCGAATGCGGGGGATCCTTAATTTCCCCCTTTTTTCCCCTTAAAGGAAACATCATATGGAATAGGATAGGCTTGAATGTTCGTCTTTAATGTCCATTCTCCTTATTTTCGGTTATTCGATTGGAGACCACCGAAACGGGCCCCTTCTTTAACGAGGCACAAAACGTACAGGGGGGATCGACGGGAGGCGGGCGGGCGCCTCCTAACACAAACCATCACCCCGAGTTCTGGGGAATAACAGCGGCTCTAGTGGACTCTCGTCTTTTCTGGGTTTTTTTTGGAGGACATCCGATAGATGGGGAGGAATATATTTTCCTTCCTTCCTTCTCTTTCTAGCCCTATTTCCCAAACTATTTCCCTTAAGAAAAGAAGGTGCCATCCTGCGCTCTTAAAAATCAGTGGCAGGTTTTCTGGTGGATTTCAATGGGAGGCGAAACGCGATCACTCCGACCGAAAGACGCCTCCCTCCCAGAAAGCGAGTGAGGAAGAGTCCCCCAGGCAGGGAGGGCTCTGGGTCCCCTTTGTTGCGGAGAAACACCCGGCGTCCAGCTTTTTGCCCTGTGAACCGGGGAGCCTTCTCGTTCGCGGCGGGGAAAGGCTGACCGGGCTCTTTGGAAGGGCCACCGGTTCCCCTTTGCGGGCCCGCTCCACTCGGCTCGGACGTGAACCGGTTGCCGTCCAGGGCGGAGCGGGGCAGCCTCGGCCAGAGGCGACTTTGCTCCGGGCGGAAGAGTTGATCATTCACTTCCGAGCGATCAAACCGTTCGGCGGCGCCGAGTTGCCCGGGTCGAGTTAATCTTTAAAGGTTCAGATCTGGAGAGAGGAGAGAGGCGGAGAGATTCCCCCGTTGGGACGGGAGACCGGCTCTCACCCCCTGGACGCCCTCGCCTCGCCCGCGCTGGGAAAAGGCGAGCCGTCCCGGGGCCACCCAGGGAATCCTGGCGGGTAGCCGGCGGCGAGGCGTGCCTCAGACCCCTCCAGAACACCCGGCCGGGCAACGATCGGCCGGAACAGCCCTGGCAGAAGCCAGCCTGGCCGTGGGGTGGGGACTTCCGAGCGCCCTCGCCCTTTCTCCCCCATTCTCTCCCGCCCAACCCGCGGAGCGGCTCAGCCTTGACTGCCACGCGGCCTTTGCCCGGCCACCTTTTCCTGACTCCCTGCGAAGCAAATCCTCCCCAGGTTTAGGGCAAGACGGGGCGGCGGGGGCTGGAACAGCCCCCTACCTCGGAACCTTCGCCGCTTTCCAGATCAGATGCCAGATGTCTGTCTTGGCACTTAGTTCGGTCTGGTGGGTGAGTTTTTTTCTCGACCGCCTCACGTTTTGCCCCTTTCTGCTTGTGTTCGGTCCCCCTTGGCAATGCTGGGCGTCTTCTGAGTGGGTGAGTGGGTGGCTGCGACCCACAGCGAAAGGACTCTTGCATGTTCCGAAGACCATTTTCCTCAGGAATGCTAGAATTACACAATGGATCTGCTCTCAGAGCATGTGGGTGTCTCTGTGTGTGTGTGTACACGCGTGCTTGTGCGCTCATATTTCCATACACTTCGACATATATACATGACGAGGGGGAAATTATGTACGTATGTATAGGTACATATCAATATGTACCTACTTAGACCTATGGCGAACATTGGTATATTTAAGTTGGCGGGCCTTCTAAATTGCCCCTGAGAACCCTTGGAAGAGGTGCGTGTGCATCCACACGAGCGCGCGCATCGGACCGGGGTCCTGCTTGAAAAATCGGAGCAATTGTTCGCCGGCGACGTTTCTTCTCAGCCACCGGCGTCCGAGAGCCCCGCTCCCTTCGGTTCTGCCTGGCGAGAATGTGTTCAGGAAGGAACGACATCGGTTGAACTTTAACTGAAATGGCAGTCACGCCAGTCGAACGGGTTCTGAGAACTTCAAAAAGGTTTTCTATCGCCCCCGGCTTCGCCTAGGAACTATAAATTTGGTATCCTTTCAAATTCGTTGCATGCATTTTGCTTTCAGGTGAAAATTGGGCGGGTTTTATTTTGGCACCTCGAAAGGAAAACAGTGTGTATATCACACACAGAGAGAGACACAGACACACAGACACACACACGCGCACACACACACAAACAAAGAGAGAGAGAGAGAGAGAGAGAGAGAGAGATGCAGGGACATACGCACTCATACACCCGCACACAAAATGGCAGACTAAATAGACGCTGACGGTTCTGCATCCATTCTATATGGCTGTGCAAAAGGAGAACAATCTGTAATACTGATAGATTTTTTTTTAAAGTGCTTAATTACTTCTGTAAACAAACAAATCGCCTTGGCTGCTTTCATTTAAAAAAAATGGCAGGATTAGAGAAGCCCTTTTATTATTTGTTTTAAAAATTAGAACAAAAGCACCAAGGGCAATCGATTTTCTTTCGTATTTGGAATGTATAATTAAATGTAAAAAAATGACGAGGGGAAAGAAAGAAGAAAAGGAAATATGATTTCCCCCTCCCTTTTTCGCCTCTAGCATTGCTCCAGATCACTTCCTTGCTCCAGATCAGCAGTGCCTCGTTTACACGTCTTCCTCTGCTCGAATTAATTGAAGTTGTGCCTCTTCCTTGCTCAACTTTTTTTTTGTCCCTTCCCTTCCCTCTCCCTCTCCCCCAACTCTGCCTCTGCCAGCCCCCTCGTCTGATTACATCTAGTAATTCTCCACTGAATGAACGTCATTTACAATACTAGGGGAGCTCTCGAGCTGCCTGCAAAGCCTTCACGCTCCATTTGGTCCTGCATTCTCCCTTTAAAGTAGTCGTGTAATATTAATAGTCATGAATATCAATTATTATGAGGCGGTGTAGGGAAGGAAAAGGAGAGAGGGGCACAGGAGCAGTCTGAACCTCGCCTTGGGTTGAAGAGGATTGCATTCGGAAGCTCAAAGGGCCGGGAGGGGGAACCACAGAGAGAAGCCTTTTCCATATATATATTTATATCTACGTAGAGCTTTTCAATCCCCGTTTGGGGGCACTGGCTTTTTTTTCCCCTTCAATTTTTTGTTTTGATGGATAGACTCGGAAATACCTCCAGCTGTTCTCCTGAGTGCACCGCGTTCTTGTGCAGATCTCCTTGATACGTCCCCTCTCGTTATTGTTGTTGTTATTTATTCTGTCGCTATTTTATTTTTAGTTATTTCAAGACTTTTTTATTTCCAGATGTTAGTCCACACCTATTCCGCCATGGTGAGTTGGGTCCGTGTTGTGATTTAAAATTGCCCTGCTCTCTCTCTCTCTCTCTCTCTTTCTCTCTCTCTCAACGCCTTTGGCTTGGTAATTTAGCACAATAATTGGAGGAAGCTTGCAGCTGCTTCTCCATTTTGCATTGTGTTCTCGGTTTGAGCTATAGGGGGGTGAGGGGGGGGAAGAGAGAGGGGAAACTTTTTTTAAAAAGACATTGCTGCTGGGGATTTGAAGTACCTTTTCTGGAATAGGAATGTGTGTTTTCTTCCCCTGTTATCATGACTTCAATGCGGACATAGCCTTCTTTATGCAGAAAAATATTTGTGGCCATTCTTATTATTTTTCAAAACGTTTAAGACTTATTTTAATTAAATATATTTAATCTGTTCTCATACTTTGTTATCGTTTACTGTCTTCCAATGGAGGAGAATATAACTTTGCAAAAAAACAAAAATAATTTTGCAAGGAAAACAGTTTTCACTAGTTTAGTTCTGACATATATTTTTCCCCTTTCGACTTTGGTTTCATTTTTAATCCGAGATGTATTGTTTCGTATTATTTTCTTTAGAACTGTCCTAACATTCTAGAATTGCACTTTTCCAGCTCTTGTGGCCTGCCTCTGAAAAAATGAGTAGGCGGTTTGTTTATTTAATCAAAGATAACTTCTTAAAATAATAAATAGTTAAATGATTTTCCATTTGCTTCCCCTGCTCAAATGTTATTTAGGTAGATGTCACAGAATGCGTGGAAAAAGTCACTCCTTAAAGGGTGGAATGAAAAGATTTTAAATTCATTTAAATGAAGGATATATATCGTTGTAGAGTTCAAATGTGGTTTGAATCTTAGTAAAGAAACACCGTCCTCCTTGATGTTGTAATTTTCTCAACTTAATACCAGTTTAATGCACTTAATTGAAAGAGAAATAAAGCAGAGATTAAGGAATATAAACCAATATTTGATCTAAAATATTACAATGTTTTTTTATCCGAAACGGGACTTTTGATACAGGATTATTATTATTAGTTCAAATGTGGTTTGAATCTTAGTAAAGAAACACCGTCCTCCTTGATGTTGTAATTTTCTCAACTTAATACCAGTTTAATGCACTTAATTGAAAGAGAAATAAAGCAGAGATTAAGGAATATAAACCAATATTTGATCTAAAATATTACAATGTTTTTTTATCCGAAACGGGACTTTTGATACAGGATTATTATTATTATTATTCTTTCTTTCTTTCGTGCTCCCACCCCTCCGCTGCTGCTCGTGCCCGGGTGTCCGCTGCCCGGCTGGCCCGCTCGCTCCAGGACCGGCACGATGGCGTCCCCAGCCACAGCTCCCGGCTGTCCCAGCTGGGCTCGGTCTCGCAGGGGCCTTACTCCAGCGCCCCGCCGCTGTCTCACACCCCGTCCTCGGACTTCCAGCCGCCCTACTTCCCGCCCCCCTACCAGCCTCTTCCTTACCACCAGAGCCAGGACCCCTACTCGCACGTCAACGACCCCTACTCCCTGAACCCGCTGCACCAGCCCCAGCAGCACCCCTGGGGCCAGAGGCAGCGGCAGGAGGTGGGCTCCGAAGCCGGCTCGCTCCTCCCGCAGCCGCGGGCTTCGCTGCCGCAGCTCTCCGGCCTGGACCCCCGGCGGGACTACCACTCGGTCCGGCGGCCTGACGTCCTGCTCCACTCGGCGCATCACGGCCTGGATGCCGGCATGGGCGACGCGCTTTCCCTCCATAACACTACTGGTGAAAGAGGTTCTCACTCCCCCTGTCATTCAAAGAGGGAATTCATTAACTCCTGAAACCCATCTGATTGTCATAGAAAGCCGGGCCGCTCCGCTCGGGCCGCGCTTCCCTCTCCTCCCGCGGCCTCTCCTGGCTCTGGCCTGCCAACAAGGGCAGCGGGGGACTCCGGGCTCCTTCCTCCGCCCGGCTGCGGGACTGCCGGAAGGCAAGCCCCCTGCAAGCCCTCGGGGCGGCGGGGGCTGTGGGGTCCCGGCTGCAGCTCCTCCGGAGCGCGTCCCTTGCGAGGGTTGCAGCCTCGCGGTTGAAGGGGAAGC